AGCTGTGAATATTTCTACCTGGAAGCGAGCTTTAAAATGTGTCGTCATTCCAAAATATACATAAATTTATGAGCAGCATGTAACAAGCCGAGCTTTAAATTTTATTCACTCTTTAAAATGGAGATCCGAGACAGGAAATTTTCTTAAACACAAAACTTTCAGCATTAGAAATTCTCAAGTTCAATGTATTATTTTTTAATAACATGAATCCCTTCCTCCAATTTCACTTTCACACACTTATAAAACTTGCACATTATGCCTTATCTAAACATCTACCGTCGAAAAAGATGAATCATTAATGAATGCATTAAATTATTAATTCTTTTTCGTCCCGTATTCGATGCCTGAATTATTTATGATGTGAATAAAATTTTTTTCGAAAAAAAAAATAATACTTTTATTTTTAGAAAGTACATAAAAATATGTATGTAAGTCAACGAAGATGATGACATTTTTTTTATCATCAAAAATTAATCAAAGGAAAGAGAAAAAAAAACTCCGGAACTGTGAAGAATTAATCCCTTTCAATTCCATAAAGCTAATCGTGCCTCAATGCTATTAAATTTCATTGACTCGCTTTTGACTACCAGTTTTCGTTTGGGTGAAGAATAAGAGATAGAGTAGTGGCTGAAGATATGAGAGAAGTGAATTTACATAAAGATTATGACGTAGTACGAGATTATGAAATTTAAGCTGGGTGAGTTTATTTTGATTTAGGCATTTTGGTGGATATTGATATCATTTTGTTCAATTACATGCATAATATTTTAACAAAGGAGTAGCTAGTTATATCAAGTCATATTGATGAATTGAGTAAGCAAAAATTATTTTTGACATATTCGATAACCAGTAAGGCCATAGGATTAGGGAATAGATTCGATATGGGGCCGTTCACTTATTATGTTCGCATTTTAGGGGGGAGGGGGGGTTTGAAAAATTGTAACAAAATGTAACATAGGGGGGGGGGGGGTGTCAAGAAGTATGTAACGTTCTAAAGTTCAGTAAAAAAAGTTCACAAAAAATTTTTTTTTAAATTTTCCACCTTTTTAATGATTTATGGATGTCTAGATCACTTTTAATAGCTAAGCAATGCATAGTTTTTGTTATAAATGTTTTTATTAACTATATATAAAAAATTATCAAAATAAAATAAATTATGAACGTTCAGGGGGGGGGGGGGGGGGGGGTTGTGAGTTGTAACATATTGTAACAAGGGGGGGAGGGGGGTGAAAAAAGTCGTTTTTTTTGCGTAACGTAATAAGTGAACGGCCCCTATCTAGATCCGTGAATTTTAAAAGGATATGGGTTCGATTCCTAAACAATGAATTGAGAATTTCGACATTTTCTTATAAAACAGTCACGCAAGATATATCCAGCATACGAAGGAACACCTCATAGAGCGAGCCTTTTAGAATCCTCAATAATTCCCTTGAAAAAACAGTCAATCTGATTAAGTTTGTCAAAAAATTCCGAAAATCTATTTTGCATTCATTCTCCATTCCAAATAATTTCTGTCTACATATCTTCCTCATTGCTACAAAAAAAAAATAAACTCCTCAAACTCGCTACAAAAATCACCATAAAAAGAAATGAAAGCAATTAAAAAATTTTCATCATCATCTTCATTCCAACTAAGCACACACAAAAAGGCTTTAGAAGGAAAAAAATCAATATACAGCAAAGTTTATTCCAGCTCTTATAAAAACAAACATTAAAGCTATGGAATTTTGTTCATTTCTCACTCACATTTATGGATGAAAGGTAATTGTTATTTGTTTCGACAATGCAATATAACCATATATTTTTATCGTCATATACGCTCACATTCTTTTTAGTCGTGATGATGATTGTCATGTGTATAATGCACCACCATAATAATACTTAATAAAAAAAATTTGTACACACATGAAAATTTATTTGCTCTTACCGAAAAAAAAATAACACAAAAACAAAACAAAATAAAATGTATAATAAGGAGGATAAAGGTAAAGAAACAAGAACAAACTAGCATTGAATTGGGTTCGATTTGATGAAATTGGCGCATTTAATTGATGAGTTTTTGTGGGCGACTCTAGTTTGATTAAAACTCAGACCTAGCAAAGGATTTGTGTGTCATAGCTAACTGAATTTCAAGAACCTACAAACAACTAGTACATTTTAACCTGATGTAGGATCAACTTTAACCTAAAATGACTTAAAAGTACCAAAACCTACGTATGCATACCCAAAGTGAAGAGCACAAAGCATCAAGCTGGCAAAAAAAACCAGCCAAACCGAAGAAAAATAATAAAATAGGAAAAACATATTAATGTCCTTCTTTCCTTAATGTGTATTAATGTCGATTGGAATAAATATATATAAGTACACTTTAATATGATGAATAGAGTTACCGTCGCTCAATAGTCATTTCCATTCCCTTCCACATATGCGACAAACTCACCCTTTCATACAATCATATCGACATTTCTTTTCTTCTTTAACATCATATTTTTCTATTAAGTTCAATAAATAAACAAAATAATATTTACATGAAATTAATTATCAGTGTAAAAAAGGGACCACGAATCGCTCACTCATTCATGAGAATGATTAGTTATTCCTTTTAATGAACCACTTTGATAAACATTTTCATCGTTTTGAATGACGAGCGCAAATATTTTCTTTACGGCAATGTGCAGCAACTCTCGTTAAGCTTTGTTGAGTGGAAAATTTGAAAAGATTCATTTTTGAGACGACGGCAGTGGTTTAAATTACTTTTTTGGACTTATATAATGTTGAAAGTTCTTCCAAAATATCGAAATATGAATTGAAGCAGGCAAATAGCTTGAACTACTTGATAAGAAATTTCTAGGTTGCTGTCTTAAAAGTATGCACTCATATGATGTAATGGCAGTACTCTGATGGTAAAAAACGGGCATTTATAGCTTATTTTCAATCGATTTTCCATGTTATAAAGAACTTTTTTATCTGCTGGTCAGAGACCGTCCATTAAATTGTCATTCCCATTTAATTCTCATCGAATTCCAATAAATAACAAAACAATATGTCTCAAGACACATCAAAATAATTGTAAAATATTTTAAGAAGTCACATAAATAAGAAGTAAAGTAGAATATAAAAGAAAATAGCAGTAGTGTGGCAATAAAACATCAACTACATTCATTCATTCGTCCCGATCTCTCTCTTGAAGAAGAGGGGAAGAGAAATAAACAAAGATGTAAAGCAAAGTGAGTTGATTTGTTGCCCTTAAAAACATTTTTCTTCATCCAATATTATTGTAGAGAATCCATTTCACCTTCCTCCTGTTTTGTTGTGCTATATTGCAATGTTTACATCGCTAAATGAGATTTATACGAATACAAAAAGGATATTTATTTCAATTACTCTCCTCTCGTTTTCCTCTCGATTGAAATCGCATCAATTGAAAGACGAGAGGAGGTCAAAAGTTGATTATTTTGCAATGTTTTCAGTTAAATATAAAATATATTTACACAAATTGAAGCTTGATGTATGGAAAAATAAGTGAAAAATTGGGTTTTCCACATTTTGTTCCTTTTAAAGGAAATTGACGTGCCATTTTGAGATTGAGTTAAGCTATGAATGCAACGCATTCGAATTTTCAATAATTTTTAAATGAACTTTCAAAATTTGAATTCCTGAACATTATTTTTTTTTATTCTGAACACATTCTCCACTTCACAACATATTATGGACTTTGCAGCTTCCCAGTTGCTTGATAAAATACAATTTTAATTTAAAACCATTCAAAAAAGTGGCAGAAATCAATCGAACTTTAAAACTGTCTAGAACAAGTTAAGATAAAAATAAAGTTCAGACATTAAGACAAAAATTTTATTTTCTTCAAAAACTGCTAACCAAATTCCTCGGACATGAAGAGAAAACTTCAAGTAACTTGATAAGGGTTTCAATTTAGTAAAACTTTGTTATTTAAATTTCAATCTCATTTTTACACATTTAGAGCATGTAAGCCAATATTCTAACATCTCATGTTGTTACATCTCCCATGTCATGGATGTTAAATGCGATTAAACGCATACTGAAGCTACTTGAGTAGCACACACGTCAAGGAAGAAGGAGGAAACGAGGTTAATTTTAAAAATTAGAAAACATTTTAATTCACTTGTTTCACAACACCAATCAAATTATGTTCAACACGTGTCTGAAGATATAAAAATTAACAAAGGAACTGCCTGCCTTCCCATTACAGTTGTAAATTATTTCCCTCAATGCGATCATAAAAATTCAACGCCTGGTTTTATGAAGAACTCACTCGCAGAACCCTCTTTATTTTTACATTTCTTCGAGTCATTCATGACGATTGCTCAATTTTCTGTTGTTACGTTTATGCAGAAGAACTTTTCTCGTAATTTTCAATTTCATAATCATATCGATTTTTATTACTACTATAAGATTATTCGATAAAAATCTAAATTGAATGGGTAAACAACCCTCAAACTTGATTATAATTGAAAAATTAGTTAACCACAAATCGATCGGTTTTTCCCATCAGCTGTGCATAGATTCCGATAATTGATTGATATTTGGGAAAGAAGAAAATCAAAATATTGAAAAAAAAATACTCTCTGAAAACAACTCAATTCAGTTGGAATTCATTTGACAATTCCGTTGATGTCTCATGAGTGTTGCCACGTGGCTAGTCGTAGTAAAACGTGACTATCATTACGACGACTTGAGTATATGGAAATTTATTGTTAATGCTCATTTGGTTGAGGGGTTCAATTGCTTGTAAAATTGTTTAATTTGTTTTATATCTCATAGTTTCATTCACGCATACACAACAAATCCATTGTCATACATATCGCCCCTCAATGCCATTGGAAAATTAAAAAAAAAATCATATTCAAAGTGGGAAGTTTTTTTATTTTAATATATTTATTATTTTCAACTACTAGCACCGATCATAGAGATAAGATAAGGGAATTATGTGTGTCAGTGTGCACTTAGCAAACTAAACTCACCTGGAGTGGACGTTGTGGTGCTCCCATACTATGATGATACATGACATCGTGCTGGAAATCGAATGAAATAAAGAAAATTATTGAATGGAATTAAATTGGTATTATTGCGGTCATGAGTGTCTAGTGGATTGAGAGATGGTGATTTATTGTTAATTTTGTCACTTACGTCTGCTTAAGACTCAAGAGGTTAGCAAACTTAAAGTGAACTGAATATTTTCATAAATCTGTATCAAGTCAGGATTTGGAACGACATTAATGACACTTTCTGAGAGATTTTGAACTGCATATTCAAGAAATTATTCACATCAGACACAAGCTTATGATTAATGGCTGTATCAAGAAGTAATTCCATGATTGCAGTGGAAACCTCCAAAAATATATTAATATAATATTCCGAATTTTAAGCACATTCCATAAGTTTATTGACTTTAAACCAAATCTCATGCTGATATTTAAAGCATGACATCAAAGACTTTTGAGCAAGACATCCTTTAAAGTCAAAAAATTCTACCACTCATCTTTCATTTAATAAAACCGCAAGTTATAAAGTATAAAGTTTATTAACCTTTAGCTGCTGCGTCATTTGTTGATGTGCGGCATGACTTGACTGATGTTTTTGCATGTCTACTGCTGCAAGTGCTTCCGCTCGACTCAGTAATCCATCGTTCAGGCCGGAAAATATATCGCCCTGAAAGATAAAAAAAATGATACAGATAAAAATTATTGGAACTACTGTGAATGAAAAAAGAGGTAAACAAAAAAATTGAGGGTTGTAGTTAAATGAAAATTTATATCTTGTACTCTATCGACAAGATATATATCAAAAATTTTCATTTTTAAGAGACATAACAGCTTCAACCTTCATTTTTTTTCTGTGAAACACAAATGCGTCATAAATCAAGCCCCGTACAAGGAATCACTTCAATGTTTACGTGCTGTCGGCGTTCGTATGATGTATGTGTATATAAGGCACTTGAAATTCAATTATTTATGGTCTAGGCATTTTAGTACAAATTTTTTATCCTTCCTCAAGTGCGTTTGAAGTCGAGAAAAAATGGTTCTTTAAAGTAACACTTTTTTTCCTCTCCCTTAAGACATCTAAAGGGCAAGATCTTTACGTATTCGCGAGTTCGATGAGATTCGAAATACATAGACATACGCTATGTGGAGAAAAAGATGATACTGTCTACATATAAAATGAAATTATTTATCTTTGACTTTCATAAAAAATTTGGCATACTTTTATTCTTGGAATGAGTGAGTTTTGAGTTTAGAATGACTGAATGCTACGTCTGTGCTATCTTTTTGAATGAAATGGAACTGCTTCTATGCTGAGTAATTGATTAATCGAAGCAAAAAATGCAAAAAACTTTTTGAAGTGTGAAAAATTTTAAAGTTGATATTTTCAAATTTCCAAAATCCGTTACAAATTTTCAATCAATGTTTTTGAAAAGCGTTTAAATCATCAGCCAAAGGTAAATTTTCACATTTTTTTCTCTATCATCCCATTCTGCTTATGTGAAATTTGTTTGCATGTATGGGTGCAAAAAAAAGCAGCATGTCTCGAGAATGTGTACATATTCATCATTAGATGTTGCTTTTCTTGTTGCTGCTTTTCCAAGTGAAAAAAATGTATACGTGAAATATTTATGAAGCCGTCTGTGTTTTTAAAAAATATAAATAAAAATACACAAGCTTCCGTATGTATATAAAACGTATAGATTTGTGTATATATCCCACACACAAATACACACACATGTAATAAAATATGAGTAAGCATAGAAAGTCATCAGTGATGATGAATATTTTTTTTTGCAGACACGCAAATTTTCTCCTTTTTATTTCTTTCAACATCTAGTCAATATCTTGAAATAGATAAATATGTAGGCTACACAGTCATGTCTCTCTCTCTTCCTCCATGTCTCAATGTTGAAGAAGAAAAAGCACACATAAATTATTTAATGACGAAATCAATAAACCAAGAAACTCATTAAAATTTGATATAGCCCGTAGAGATAGCACAGAAAATTTCCTTCCTAGTTTTATATACAAGCTCAGCCATGAGCACAGATGAGAATTGTAGAAAATAAAAAAGGAGAGCTAACGATAGTTGTTTCATTCTGTCTCGACGTCGATATGATGTTCCGTAGCGTCAATATTTTATGAAGGTCTTTTCCTAATTCTAAAAATAGGTGAAACTACCTCGAGGGGGGCTCGCTCTTTAATATTTATTAATTGATTGCATTTTCATGCCTTTTGAAATCATTCTTCTATGTTTTTTTACACGTGCGCGTTGAGTCGATGCTTGTAAATCAATTACTGTATCGCTCTTGTTTTGATTGGACTTTTTACTTCTGTCTGCACTCAAAGTGCTTTTCAAAATAGAATAAAATACTTTGTTGGATTCCTTAGAATGCAGGAAATCGTAAATTGTAAAAAAACTATATGAAATTAATCATGAATCGAAGAGAATATGATTTATTAATTAAAGTTGTGTCTGATTTTGTTAGACAGATGAATTTTTTTAATGGAATTTATTCTTTTTTAACTCTGAAGAATTAAAAGATTTGAGGTCACTCACTTATTTATTTTTAAATGTCCAAGTGATTCTTCTGACCTCCCTAATGTGTCACAATCACAACAGTTCAAATTTTAATCGTTAAGAATGAAACCGTTGGCTGTGCTTGGATCAACATAGTTTTCGATCACTTTCATAAAACCATTTCGTCCATAAGGCCTATATTTAAACCATCTTAGCTTCCTTTAGCTTGGAAAAATAGTAAATTACTTCTTTTTGATTCCTCAACTATAATAAGATATTCCAATAACATCAGATTCAATTCTCTTTATCTGATTCTTTCCCTTTTAAATATTAAATAACGCTAAACTCCTTGGTTCAAGAAACAAAACTTCATGTTCTGTACCACAAAACAAAAAATGCTAAATGCTAAATTTTTCATTCCATGTGAAAATAAAACAAATATAGTAACAGGTGTATTTGCTACCACAAAAAAAAAATATATCCTGACATATAAAAACGCAATAATAAAAATACAAACTTTTTTTCTATCCAGCACTTAAAGAGATAAAAGTAGAGCTAGAAAAAGAGAATCGAAGGACATTACCTAGATTTTGCTTACTCATAGAACAATGAAAAAATTTAGATTGTCATTTGTGCGAGGGTGGAATTGAAAGTTTTTCAATTTTTTCATGCACTTCACATTTTGTATCGTACGGAGGGGTTGGTAGTGAACCCTCAGTTTTATGCAAGTGTATAATTATTATTAAGTAGTATACAACATTTCGTGCTCTTAATATTATTAACAGGTAGAGTAAGGGAATATGTGGTGATTTTATAACTAAATGCCTTATTTCCTGCTATCTTCACATAATTTTGTTGTGTTTTTATATTTCCTACATGCTTTCGAGGAATGGATGGAAGTTGCGGTTTGCTAAGAGGTAATTACGTTCAATGCATATTTTTATTAAAATTTTAAATTTGGTAAATTGAAGGAAATTTTTTGGGTTTTGTTTGATTGACGTGAAGTTGAATTTTTCACTAAGATTGTTAACTTTTGTATAAAGCTAGAAACTTTTCTAGGTTTCTTAAAGTTTTATTTTTGTGCTTTATGTTTACATAAACTCAACTAGGAATGTGGTCTAGAAAATGTGGCTAATTATTCAGCTAAAGCTATTTTACTCAATTTTACAGCTGACTGATTCAATTTTAAATATATAAGGAGTTGAACAGGTATGCTTTATCTAGTAATTGTCTAACTTTAAATACAACTAATTGAACCTAGTTTATCTTTGTTGAACTCACTTAAACCTAGTCAATCCTAGTCGATCCTAGTCGAACCTAGTCAAAAATAATCGAACCTAGTCGTTCTAAGCTAGGGGTGGCAAACAGAGCTATTACCGTTAAATTCGGAAAAATTTGAATATATTTTTAAAATTCACTAGCACTAACATAAAATATTCGAATGTAAACATTGAAAATGTTTCATTGAAATTTGACTTAATTTCAACTAATTTTGTGTACAGGACATGATAAGTTGCTTAATGCAGCTTTAGTAATGATAAATGGATGCTTTAAACAAGCTTTAAAGTATGATTTAATGGATAAATTGCAAAAAAATTCAAAAGTACAATTTTGTTTGTGTTAGTGTGCCTTATGTTTCGAAATTCAAAATTTAAAAATTAACGGTAAAATAAGGTACCTATCGAAATTCGTAATCGAAAAATAAGGACCGTTAGCCACCCCTGGTTTCTAAGAACTAGATAAATTACATTCTGTTTATAAAACTATGTTCACAATGATGATTCATAGATGCCTTACAAAGCTGCATAAAACTCATAATCAGAATCAATTTTTATTCTAGATTATTAAGTTCTAAGCCGTCAATTTTGAACAATCAAAAAATGAACACGAACAGTAAACTTTTCTAATTTTCAGAATTAAAATATCCCTAATTTTGCCTTAGAAAGTATGAATCTCATCATTAACATTAATCGTGTCTTCAATTGCACTGACGAAAACCCTCAATAAAGTATAAATATACAAAATAAATACACATTAAAGAGGAGGATTTCCATTATTTTAGTATCGTTCATTTCAAGTTTTATTAATTCATAAGAAAGTAGTTAAGGAGGTGGACTTACATTAGTTCTAGGGGACCAAGAATTACACATTATTGAGGCATCTTCAAGCAATCGACTCTGAAATAACAAGGGTAAGAAGGGTTTTGTGATGATGGAAAAAAAGTAAAATAAACTTCAATCAATAAAATATTGATAGGACGGTCTCAATAATTCATTACAAATTGACAATTATCCTATCGCGACTATTTACATAATAATACAATGAAATAAAAATTTTCCGCATGCTATTTAACAATTATCAAACAAAAAAAAAAGCAGTATGCAAGAAGAAAAACAAGACAAGAATAAATATGTAGGACTATGACTAGTTATAAAGCATTTTGTCATGTCACAACTTGTTAAATGTAAAATATTAAAAATGTTTATGGAAAATTATTTTCCTTCGATAAATATTTGCCTTTTCAATTGCATGGCTTGTTATTAATAAGAAGGAGGATGATGATGGAGAGTCATGATGGGCTGCTTTTAGTAGTCACGATTGTTTTTCATCAGGTAAAATATTTGTTTATATAACTTACTAATTAACAGTTCAGCTCTTTAAGCTTTATTATTTATTCATGCAATATTTTCTCTTCTTCTCATGCTGCATTACAATGACACACATTTTTATTTTTTATTGGTTTTTGTCTGCTATTAAAAAGCAATTCTTCATGGTTATAATTAGTTTACTTTTGGGTTGGTGTTAAGAGATATTGTTTTTTAGGGCAGGAGCATTTTTTGAGATTTTTAATTAAATATTAATTGCTTGTCTGTCAAAATCTAGGAATCTATGGCTGTAGTATTAAAGCTGAGTGGAATTTAGGGTATCAAGCTATATACATGTAAGTCTACCACTGTGGTTGATTATCAATGCTTTGTAAATTCGAATTTGAAACAAACACGCTGATTTTACAAGTTTGAATCCACTAGCGACTATATACTTAGATTTAAAAACTTTTTTCTTAATTCAACATTTAAAAAGAACAAAAACTTCCAAAAAACTTGCATTAAACTCACATAATCGAGCTTAAAAACATGCACAAATTCCCAAGAAAAACTTAAACTCAATTTTCCATCAAACAGAAGCAAAACAATTCTCAGCAACTCATTCCAGTCATTCACAAGCAACGAAAACTTTTCCTCACGAAAATAAAATGGCTGGAAAATTTAATCAACTAAAACTTTGTCATTCACCTTTTCAAAATAATTCAAAATTGAGAATTCTCAGATTTTCCTTTTAACTTACAAAAAAAAAATAAAGGAAATTTAAGTACGGAAAGGAATGTCACATGGCAGTCATGAATCCAAATTTAATTATTTATGAATATCGATCAATATTCGTACTTTATTAAAAATTCATATTCAAATCATATGATCGAATGTCAGAAGAAAAGTTTAAGGAAATTCTCTTAAAGACGAAAAGATTAACAAAAGAAAACTGAAATTTTTCCTTATAAATCTAAAGTAGCCAATCGTTGATTTTTATTCTCTTTATCGATCCACGCTGTCGCCATTTTTTCCTCCCTTCAATTCATACAAGCATACTCATTTTTCATTTCTCCCAAATACTATGTACATAAAGTATGTGTAAGAAAGGAGAGAGGAAAAAACATACACAGAATTTTCCGACCCCGAAAAAAAAGAAGAATATAAGCATAACATGTACTGAACTGTATGTAAAAATAAGCAAAACAGAAGTGAATGATAGAAAATTTTCATATCGTCATTTTTATGAAGTATCATGACTTTGGAAGTAAGAATGGAAACAGAACATAATGGAAAGGAGGAAGTTCATAATGTAAACATTCAAAATAAAAATGAAAATATCCCCTTTGTTATTCCATCCTTACATCGATGAATGGGGAAAAGTTTGAGACTCTTATTGTGAAAAAATAAAGTTCGAAGTTCTCTGAGGCTAGTGAAGAAAAGTTTTTGACAATTTTTTTATCGACGAAATTTTCAATTTTTCTGAATGCGGCGTTTAAATTGAAGATGAATTTTGAGTTTGAATTTAATTTTTTGTTTGATGGAAGTCATTTAAATAAATTTAATTTATATTACTTGATTTAAAAACGCTAGATTTCGATGGATTTTAGATATAAAGCAGGATTAGAAGCTCTCATTTGGTATATTTCAACCATCATGAGCTAAACTAGTCCAAAAGTATTCAAACCGATGAATAACTATGAACTTATTCAATCTTAAGTCATTCTATAGACAACTATTTCGCATAGTCACTTTATTTCATAATATTCAACATAATCTAAACTAACCCCAAACCTTGTGATAAACCCTTTAAAAATCAATAATATTGAAAGCTTTTCAATCTATTGGATGAATATTTAAAACTATCTAATAGTTTTCCTTCTAATCCTCTTAACTAGAGCCATCATCAGCTCAACGTATGCATTATATTCAGCAAGAGCTCTCAAATCGTCAGCTGATTCACAATTTCAATTTAATCCTTTAGTCAAATCCATCGATTTTTCAAAAAAAAACTGTTTTAAAATCTATTCAAAAAGATTTTTCAAGTGTTTACATTTCACTCAATTGTCAATGAGAATATTTAAAGCCTTTCATTTCATTCAATCCTTTCTTCATTGTAGTAGATGAATTTTTTTTTATCTATGCTTAATTGAAAATTTCATGTTCTTTTATTTCAAATAATTCTGTAACGTGAGAAGTTTTTTAGTTTCAAGCACATGTCGCACTTCAACTTTTTCTACTCTATCTTTCAACTTTTTTTTATATTCAATAAAAAAAGTTGCTGGTCAATTGAATACTTTTTTTTTAGAATATAAGTTGAAGCATGTGATGCGATTCACATTACACACCAGTTATGGATTTCAATAAAGAATTTAAAATGACACGTGCTTTTTTCCTCCTATCAGACCCATTCTCATTAAAATTTTAAGTTTTTAATGACACAGCTCTTAAGTTATGGAGTATATTCAATGAAATGAAATGAAATTACCATTTTTTACATAATCCTTCTCAATAATATACACAACAGTATACATTATCATCATGCATGTAGGATGTGTACGGTACGACAATGTATTGTAAAAGAGAAGGAAAAAAAATTAAATGTCTCATGGGAACTAAAAACTTCAGGAAATATGTGGAATAAAGGGAAAGAAAATTTTATGTCCGATTGACAACTTAACTGTAAAATCATGAAATATTCTTTAGTTTTTAATAAAGGTATTGTAATATATCTCTTTTGATAGACATTTTTCAATGAAATAGGGTACATTAGTAATTCAGTTTTGTAACTTATCGATTAACTTGATCTGAAGTCAAACGAAATTATTTTTGTATTTAATTGGTTTAGATTGACTTCAATTCTTTGATAATTACTAAATTTAAGAAACTTTGAATACTTAATCAATGATATTACATTTGAAATCAGATGCTTAGATTTCAAAGTTTATCTAAATCTAGAAATTTAAATTGTAAAGTATTGTGATGAATTCATTAGCTCACTGATCTAGACTTATCAGCACCACAGTACTGGGGGTCCTCGATTTGAATAGATGTATTGTTCTAGAAAAATTCTGTTCAAATCGAATCTACTCAGATCGAATATAAGTGAATAAAAATGAATAAGCATTTTTAAGCATAGTTTGAGTAAGTTTTAACTTTAGCTCATCCTTTCATAGATTTCAATTTTGAAAATGAGCCTTAATAACTTTTTCTATGTTCTAGTAGCTCTTAACTCAAGTGGGTTATATTTCATACCTTATAAATTTGACCAAAACTGACCAAAACAAAATTTAATTCTAATTGATGATAAATTCATGTTCAAGCAAGTTCTAGCGCTTTAAATAATGATTTCCCCTAATAAAATCTCAATTATCACCCAAAAATTCCATCATATTCTCAACTGCAATTAATCATTCTGATTGCCTCTACAATAAATTATTATTAAAACTCCCAAATTAACACAATAATTTGATCCGTCAAGAAAACAAATTGCTTTCACTTTACAACAACAAAAGCAAGAAGCGAGAAGGCAAGTTATGCACTCAGATTTATAGCCAACATAAACTTCATTAACTGTGTGTATAATATAGTCGAATCAGAATAAGAGCAAACTTTTTTTCAACATAAAAAGAAAATTCCGTACTTTCCATTCAGCAAACAAAAGAAAATGGATAAAAAAAATTCACTTTGTGAGTTCTTCCCTTCTAAGAACAAACATTAACGAAGAAAAAGTATAAATGGAAATGAAATTAATGCAATAAATTTGAATGAATTGTGAATTGTCGAAAATTAAATAAAAGTAGATGAGGAAAAGAAGTTTTTTTTTGGGGATGAAGAAAATAGAGAAGAAAAACGTTAAGGAGCTTAACGAAGGAAAATGTTCTATCTGAGTCTTTAAAAATTATTACATTTATTGTGTATAAATTGAAAATAAAAACTTAAGTAGCTTGTGAATCTCCTTAATGCATTTTTAAATGCCTTTTAATGCAATTTACTTGGCCACTTTATAACTTTTAACAATAAGTAAGACTGAAGGTAAGTGAGTTGCTAGGAAGAATAAACAGATGGAGCATCTGGAGCTTAATGATTGAAATTAGCTTGTATAGAGTAGTGTTGGAATAGTGTGGAATCTGGAGTTTGATGGTCTACATAGGGAAATGTTCTATTTAAGAGTTGGGGCTTTGTAATCAATGGATAGGCATCTGATCTAAATCTTTTGGTCTTTAAATTTTCGAAATTTCTCAATACTCTTGAATTCATGCTTTGATTAATTCTCTAACATCAAATTTAATGTTAAGCACACTCACAAAGCCATTCAGCTCAAAACTACACAATGCCACTCGGGCAATAACCCATTAAGCTCAAAAACATTCATGCTTCCATTTTATCCATTTAAAAAGAAGCAAAATTGCATTTTCCGACTGACAACATGCGACATTGACTTTAAAGGTTGTAACAATTTTGCACCTGATCCAAAACAAAAATTTTTATGTGCTACTACCTGACTCAATAATATCGTCTTGTAACATTAAAGTATGGCTGCTTTTTTCCACCATATATACAATACATTTACTCCCAGTAGAGCTTTAAAAAATGATAAGACACACACGAAAGCAAAACATGAAGTAAAAAAATCGATAAGGAAGAAGGAAGAATGAATAAATTTTCTTAATATGATACAGTCAGATAAATTGTATGTATTTGAAGGCGTATAGCTTCTATGCTGTATAAATAATTTATTATGGCTCAAAATTTTCTACTTTTAAAGATTTTTCTTTCTTTTACTTTTGTTCCGTTTTTAATGTTTGAAGATAATTTTGGAATTAAAAGTTTTTGAGACGCGATAGAAATTCAAGGAATGGGAGATTAATTAGGGAGATTAGCAAATAGAAATATCGTAATTATAATGAAAGGATTGAAATAAGAAAAGATATAAAAGGGGAAATATCAAGAAAGATGAAACATTACTGTTAACATAATTAGCTGAAGATTGAATCAGATACAACATTCTAAAATAAGTGAAACACTTTGAATTTAGTTTATCGAGTGTTTTAGTCTCCTAAACTCTACTCAAACTTTGGATTGAAAAAAAAAATAGTTAAAGATAATTTCAATGTCAAAAATGGAACTTCAAAACTAGTTATTATCTATAAAATGGTCAATCTTATTGTAAAATTTCAAAACAATTAAAAATTGCCTTATTAAGACTCAAAAATTATTAAATAATTCACCATGCTTGAAATTTGTAATGATTAAGGAATTAACTTAAGATCATGCAATTGTAATGGAATTAAAATATTCAACAGATTAGTCAAATTAAAAAATGACAATTAAAAAATAATTTGACTCCAGATGCTTAAAAATCTATTCACAATTCTTTAATCAATCGATTATTATCAATGGGACACAATTAAAAATTAAAATTACATTTTTAATCATGAGAATATTTAAAAAATTAACCAAGATAGAATTATAAATCGTTTATTAACTTAATTGGTATTAATTTAAGGAAAAGTCAAGTAAAACCAACGTTTCTGAAAGTATCAATTGCATCATAATGATGTTAATCTGTTGAATGATTTTCAAGTTCTACTTCTTTCTTGGAAGTTTTCAAATAGTTTAACACCAGGCGACAAAAAGCAGTTAATCATATTCTATATGAAAGCTATGCTCACTTAGACTTTGTATAACTTCCAAATTGATACGAAATTGAGCTTTTGTGGCACTTAAGTTTTTAAATAATTTTAATATGTATCTAGCAAACAAATGTACATGCTCAGAATCCTAAAAGTGTTTTTTAAAAATATAATACAGCAAATGCATGCACTAAGAATCACCATAAAATGTCTATAGTATTAATTAATTCAATTTCATAAGTAAAACTTACCGACGGATTTGTCATGCATCTTCTCATTTGATCGGGACCTCGATAAGTTGGACTGTACCGTCCAGGAAAACATCCTGGAGCAGACATTTTCATTTTATCCGACGGATACATAGACATGGACATGCATCCACCAGAGAAGTCCTCCTCTAGTTTAAGCGCTTTGGTCGCGCTTTCAAATGGAGTTGGCGAATAAATTTTGCTGAATTTTTTATCAAACACTTAGAAATGAAATGAGGAGAAAATTAAGAGTTTTTCCTTTTGCAAAAAAAAAGTTTTTTCTTTCTTTTCTTCTCTGTTTTTTTGTACGCTCTACACTTTTTCAATGTCCTTTACTGATGATAATTTCATTTCACAACAAAAATAACAGAAACTTTCTTCACTTCACATCAGCATCATGTCTAACACGTACACACAATCTTCACAATCTTCAGTTCTCTAATTTCTTTAAGTCGTAAGGATATAAAAAAAATTTTAGCAAGGAAAATTCAGAAAAATTATTTATTGCAAAAATGTAGAAAGCTTTTTCTCCCCCGACGGATGATCTAAATGCCTTGAAATTGAATTAAAAATTATTTTTGTTGCAGCTACTATTGCACAGCTACTCTCCGACCGAGAAATTCAGGTATCGATTTGACCCAAATCAATTTTTATTATGCCGCTGCTAAATTGTGTGTTAAAGGAGAAAAAAATTGATTTTCACATGAAATTTATGATTGCAAATATTGGAGTGCTTTTGCCACATAAAAGCTCATAAAAAAATTTATTTTTTTTTTGCAACGAGCCTTGTTTTTGCCACAGAAATTTAATAAACGAGAGGACGAAAAAAAATTACAATTCGAATTTTTTTTATTGGAAAGCCGCAAATTTATGCAGCTTATGTACATGGTTTGGAATCGAGTAGTGCTCAGTACATTGTCTGAAGTGTGTTGATGCATTTTCTGATTCTCTAGATGATATGACAATAAACAAATCTAATGAAATGACATTGAATGTACAAATATTGTATCTACATGCATGTGGATGGGTTGAAAATTTTTTTGAAACGACAAAAAAAAATAAACAAAATTGATTTTCATGTTAAATCGATTTATGAGAGTACAGATTGATAATTCCATTGAATTGAAAAATATCCTTGATCTAATTTTGATATTGAGATGTTTTGTCGTTAAACACATTGAACTTAAAAGGTTTTTTTGGCCTTATCAAGATATTTTGATATAAACAAGATATTATTCAATTTATTAAGGATCAGAAGTTCGAATTCTGAACAGGAGCTTAATTATGGAAGTGCGATATTGATAAAATAAGGCAAATGTTCTATATCAGTAAAACCTTATCTTAATTTCAGGATCCATCTTCAAAGTCAGAACCAAAGCTAGTTACCAACTCAAAAATATGTAATTATATTCAACAAAACTTCAAAAAAAGTAATTAGAAAATTATGTGTGACAATTTTGCTGGAAATATGTGATTGATGATTAATCGAATGTCATGTTACAATAATATTTTGATCTTGCCGCAGACATGGACATAATCGGAACTATTTTCAACCAAATGAATCAACAATATTTTTGGAAAATTAAGTTTTAATGATAATTAATGACAAGTCTGCATAAATTAGAAAAAAAATAGGTTGTTTGATGTTTAATTCTGAACTTGTTTTTGAATAAAATCTTTTGAAGTTCATTTGGAAGATCAACAATTAATTATGAGAATCTGCAAGATTCGTAGACTTTATTAAAACATAATTGAACTTGAATTAAATAGAGTGATTTTCGATAGTTTGGATGAACTCAAGAAGCTTGCATTTAAATCATTTATCCTAGCGAGACTAACTAGCAAATTTCTAGTCTTTCTATTCTACAACTTGCAATTTACTAGTTATTATTAAAACAACTTACTGTTAATAAATTACACTTGCTATTTAATAGCAAATTACCATGTGAAATGTTTGATCAAATCTGCTTAAGTTCGAATCGTACGAAAAATCATCAAAAAAAGAATTTTTTGCGTCATAAAAAGAATTTTTTGCGTCATAAAAAATTTTGTTCTAAATTTGGCATTTTGCCATATACTTCACAAGAGCGCGCAGAAATCACCTTTATAAGGTCGATCCAAATTTGTATGTGACTTTCAATTAATTATTTATCTTCCTCAGGTTTGTGTGCGAGCCATGGGATTTCATCAATGTTCGACTTAATTAAATTAAGTCTTTTATTTTTTTCATAGTGTTAGTGTACTTTAATTATCTTTAAATAAGTACACACTAATACTTATACAATAATTTACACAAATAAGAGAAATTACTGGTAAATTTCTGCTAGGGTTAAGATCTAAACATTGTCATAATTGTGGTTGAGTTGGCAAAAAATCTTTTTATTGTGTCTAGCTAATTCTTTCATACTGCAAATTTAATGTTTGAAACATTATAATTACAATTTTTGAAATTACTAAGTTTTAAATTTAATCAATTTAACATCCAATTGTCAAAAAATTAAAGTTATCAATAGGAATTATTAAGTACTTGAGTAGAAAAAAAGAAGATTTAATTTGTCTAATTATAAACAAATGAAACAAAAAAATCCTGCCTACACACAAAAACCTCCTACGCACTTTAAAAAGTAAAAAAATTATTACTTTTAATTCGAATTGTAAAAACCAATTTAAATTTTATCTTTAAGAATTCACTAAAAAATCACAAATAAACAATCTAATCATCACAAATGCTAATCACAATTTAAGTTTTAAGACTTAAAAGTTATCAAAATCACATTAAAGATTCTTAAACTCAATTTCAAACCAAATTCTTAATTTTTTCATCAAAAACTCCTTAAAAAACAACCCACAACAATCTTGTTTCTTCTTAATCTCTCATCTTAAAGCTAAATCTGATCCACTTAAATCCGAAATGAATTCGAAATGCAAGCAAAATTGACTCTTAATTGACCTATTAATCGCTCATGTTTTTAAAAATTAATCAATCGTAATATGATCACACATCATTTTGAGCGGAAAATTTTCATAAATAATGAGCATTCATGGTGTCATACACATCATCTGTTTAAGTTATGAATTTATAATGAACTTTTGCATGTACACACTCGATTTTTTTTTTGTATTTTGTATTATTTTTTCGGCATTTTCATCGGTAAAGAAAAGGTTTTCTGACATTGAATAAATTTTCTGAATGATCCTTAAAGGTTTCGGACTTAAAGATTCGCTATCAAACCTTAGTATTGCACAGATTATCAAATTTTCTAGTTTTTATTGAAATTTTTCACAATTTTTAATTCTGAATTTTCGCACAAGTTTTTCTGTTGATTTTCCTTATTTTTCTTTAATTTTTCTCAAGAATCGGCATTGAAAACTTTTTTGTATTAATCTTAACTTTCTTTTATTTTTCACATCAACAGTTGCAGCCGTGTTACTGGCATGTCCGTTTTAGTTCAAACAATTGTGAAAACTAAACTGAATGTTTTATGTTTTATTATCACCCACTTTTTCAGAATGAAAACAAAAAAGAAGGATTTCATACACACCGACTCGAGAGAGAGAAGGTATTGTACATGTACATACAATAACAAGCATAAATACATTTTCCACACTCATACATTCACACACGATACACACGTTCAATGTGATCAGAGGATGTAGAGCATGCGATACAAGTTAGCAAAAGTGCGCACCAACGGAAATTTTTTCATTTTCCATACTTTTCACTATCAAACAGTAAGAATGATTTTTAGTCGTACTTCTATGATGATGTCGAAATGAAATGAAAGAGAAAAGATACAAAAAGCATGAAATGAACCAAAAAAAAAGTCAGGGATTTGAGAATGAAGAGGAAAAATTGGTTTTGGATTTAAGGTTACTTTGAAATACCAATAATGAATTAATTTAAGAAAGTTATTGAATTTTTGAATATCTAAATTGGTTTTTGAAACTCAATGAGCTTCTATTCATTCTAAATTGGGTTGGTTTTAGATATTTAAGTAAGATTTAAGTATTCGTTATCTTAAAAAATATACTCATAGAAAAAAAGTAACCATAATATTTGTTATATGTTTGTTAAACTAGTTTAACAAATTATTGGTTAAGTTTACATGGGTAAAAAAAATTTCAACCAAACTATTTGTTAAAAATTTTACAATTGAGTTTGTTAAATCAACAAATTTATTTGTTAATAATTGATTTAATTAAATTTTAATTTTTGTATTCAAAACTCTTGTTTGATTAATTTCAAACGATTCCCATTAATTTATTGCGTTATTTTTAATGAGAAAACTGCTTTAAATTGAATTTTGTTGATTTTGTTTAACAAATTAATTTGTTAATTTTAACAAAACATTTGTTACAATGTTTTTATTTGTAATTTGTTTTGGAAAATAATGATTTACAAACCAAATCGTAATTTAAAAATTAAATTTGTTCATTTTTTTAAGTCCTACATTTCTATTTTATTATTCATAAATTAATTTTAAAATTTGGATATATTTTTTAAAGAATTATTTATATTGGTTCTGAATCAAATTTTATAAGTAAAAGTTTACAAGCAGCGGACTAGCGGATCATCAACAGGAATTCAGAAGTTAAGCAACCACGGAAACATTTTAAAATAAGATGGGTGACCAAATTAACAATTTTCTGGTTAATATTAACCGAAAATTTGTTATTTTTTTCTGTAAAAAAAAATTTTAACAAAAAGTTTGTTAAATTAACAATTTTTATAGTTAACAATTCAACCTTACAAATAATTTGGTTAAATTTAACAAATAAGTTCGTAAACACTATTTTAACGAATTGTTTGTTAACATTTTCCATACAAGTTACAAATATTTTGTTACTTTTTTTCTATGAGTGTAATATTGATTCATAATCCTTTATAGATTTCGTTTTTAGCCAAATTTATAGTTGATTAACAATGCTAAGCACACAACTCATTCCTATTTCAGGTTCTTTTGTCATTTATGTACAATACTAATCTAGCAAATTTTGATTTGAGAAATCTGATTTAAAGAAGATTCTAGATTCTTTTTTCATTGGAATACACTCTATTAAAGCTTACTGACTTTGAGTTGCGACTGTCAAGAAAAAAATAATGTCAAATACCTTTTAAAAGTCTGGAATATCCTTGAAATTTGAAGATATTTTTAACTCTTAAATTACTGAAAAAATTTCACAAAAATCAACGATTAAATTTCAAAGTTGACTGAGATGTGTCTTAAAATTCCAAAAGACTACTCAAATATGTGTAAAAATGCCAATCAAAAAGTCATCAATAATCTTTCAACAAGTTAACAGCCCTGCTAATCAAAATAGAATTAGAGAACAATAATAGAAAAGCAATTCCAGTAAGAAAGAATGTTCTGAAAAAAAGTTTTTTTGATTCCTCTCTCATTGCGAGTAGTAAGCGAAGCACAGTAGAGTATCAAAAAAAAAGTTTTTCTAGCGCATCAACACAAACGGGCGAGAAGGACGTAACCGCATGACAATACAATTCCTTTTATATTCACATCTACTTCAAAAAGCGTTAGAGAAGATAAAACTAGAAAATGGAAAATTGAAGGCGGTGCTCTAAGCAATAAACACGAAACACATACATCCATAGAATGTATTCGTTATTGGAATATTAAGGCACAGCGCATGATCATTATCAATGGAATTGGAATTGTTTTGGAAATAGTTTTATTGACGCTTATAAGAATTCATTCAGATTGGTTAGATATGAATAATTAAGGGTACATATCCTTCACTTACACACTGATGCCATCGCTCTTGTCAAAAAATTTCCTTTTTCATTTCTGTGTGAAATACAAACAGAGATTTTTTTGTGTGTCGTATGTATTCTCACAATACACAACATACAATGCTATAGGATGATTATGAATGAGTAGACGGTGAGAAGTTGATTAAGATGATAGCACCAATTTAATACCTTTTTTTTGTTTCTTTTCTCCTTTTTCTTTGTTGAAAGGATGCTTGAAAGTCTAATATCGTCATCATCATCACCTCTTTCATTAATTATCAATTTTTTATTGTCTTTCTCCCCCTCAGTTCCACCTCCTTTTTATTGTCTCTTTCTAATATTATGCTTGATAGTTACTTTGATGTTGAATTCATGATGGAATGAGTAGCACCCACTTTTAAATCCTTTAAATCAATCTGAAAAATTTCTAAGGGAATTAAAATCCACTTGAATCAATGTTGAACTCCTTCATTGACGATGACAGGCTCGAAAAGGGGGTGACAACAGAACACTTGATGAACATTCAACAAAGTCTCATGAATATGTGTGTGTATGTAGGTGAAATTCCAGGAATGTTTAGTAACAGGCTACAAACTTTCCGGTAACTAAGTTAAAGATTATAAATAATAAAGTCCGATTAAATTATGCGACTCTTGAATATTTCATTAGACATTGATATTTTCCCTCACTTAGAGCTGATTTAAGAAAAGTTTACTGTTGCCTTGTTGAATATGGGAAGGTCAGAGGCAATTTACACTTGGTGTCTCTGTAGATTTTAGATTAAGAGGATTATTGCATTGATTTGTGAGTCTGTGATTTAATTCTTATTCTGTTTTTTGGATTTTTTTATTTCTATTCTGGTTGTCTTAATTTGAGTAACAGCAAGCAAAAAGCGCTCAAATCCTCTTGAATCCTAAAATTTCAATGCTTTTCCAAATCATTTGCAACTTTCAAGCTTAATTAATACAGATTCCAGTAGTTCCTTGCCATTTGAATTAAATGAAAAAAATAAAACTTTCGATGTCAATCTTAAAGATCATCCAGCCAACCATCCCACATTCTCAAAAACTTTCTTTTTATGAGTGGGTAAGTATATCACCAAAGTTTTCAATCCTTCTCGTATGTTCAACTATTAATTAACCCATTCATCTAATATTCATCTATTTCACCCGCAAAATTTGATTGACTCGCTATTTTCTCCTATTTGCCAATCTTCATTGCTTTTTGCTTCATTTCCATCGCCAAAGACACATGACACATTTTCCCCAAAAAAAATAAACTTACAAATGGAGAGAAATATCTGAAAAAAAAAGTTTTATTTTTCTCTTCCTCCTCGTTTTCTTTCACATGAAATGATATGAGTGACACAATATGTATAGTTGGCGTATTGCATATCACTTGAACAATTATACTTATACTCCAACAGAGATAATTGAATAAAAGTGTCAAAGCACTTGACATTCATGTTTTTGGATTTTTTTTTTTGTTATATCTTCATTCATTCTCTATCTAATGACATATTCTCGCTTCTTCATAGTTGTGTTATAGAATGTAGAAAATGCAGTTTGAGGAGAATTGGAATAAAAATCATTTTAAAGCTTGGTCTGATGGGATTTGGGATGGAATGTGATTAAGTCCATGTAAATTTGGGGTAATGCTCTGGGTGGGAGATTTAATGGTTGATTTATATGACATAATTGAGATTTTTTAAGAACTTTTGATGATTTTGAATTTCTAACGGATTTTAAGATTTTAAATTTTCAAAACCTTACAACAGTTAATTTGACAAATCATTTGAATTGTTTTTAAAAGAAAAAAAAATTTAAAAATTTGAAAAACCGTTAAAATTTATAAAAGTCAAATTTATAAAAGTCATACACAGCTAATTCCCAAAAATGTGCAGCATATGTGACCTGCAAAAACTCTCAAAAGATTCTCTCAATCAATTTAATTTACCAGATAATTTCCATTTAAACTCTAAACAAATATTTAAGTACCTACAGTATTATTCAACTCTAATGCAACTTTAAAAGAACATTACAGCTACAACTGTGCAGTGTGTATGTGTAAAAAAATGAGCAAAAATAAAATTATGAGGGAAGAAGAACAAGATTTAATTTTCGGACACATGTTATGATTTTTCACGTCAATAAAACATGACATGATTAGGGAATTGTTTTTCCTGCCTCCCTACTTTTTGGGATAAAATGTTCTTAAATTATCATTAACAAAGTTTTCGAATTGCGAGGTTTATGTAGGAAGACAAAAAAGGGTTTTCATTACGAATATTACAGAGTTAATATTCACTTTAATTATGATGGAGTATTTGAGGAACCCTCCCCCTTCTACTTACTACTTAATATCCTTTACTATTGTTCAATATACATGTATATATATATGCACAATTTGGACAAGGAAAGGAAAGTGAAGCAATTTTCTTTTCCACTTCAATTATACACATGTGGCCGATTCTTCGCGGTTCACCCCGTTCATTTGAATGACAGTCTATAGACACACAATAAAGAGAAAAGGCAATAATTGGTATTTAAACACGCTTCTATGATGACTAAAAAAAAGTATGGGAGGAGGAAAGAAATAGATTGGCACGCAATATATCGAGTGGACATGAGGTAAGGAAAAAACATTGAGGACTTTGGACAGGAAATGGAAAAAAAGAAATCAAAACCCGAAAAATAAATTACATCAGGTGTTCAAATGTACATGCAGCAGTACACATTATATCAATTTGAAAATGAGAGATTGCATGAGTGGACAAAACGAAAATGAAAATTGATGCAAGGATATCGAACCTTAAGTCATCAATATATCCGATCAATTGATCATAATCTCTAAGTATTAGGATGTTTATATCTTGTAATATTAAGTAAAGCACTCAGCATTAAGCAGGTAAAGTGAATTATCGATGGAAATGAAATGCAAAGGGAGAGATGAGTGAATTTATCTTATGAAATCAAATCAAAATCCCATTAAATATGATCTCAATCGTTCTTAACCCTCTTATAAATGCTGAGTAGCTTTACTTTTTTTTTTTGTTACTGGTTTACTTTTGACTTCCATGTGGAAATGATTAGATTTGATTTTGACTTTAGGTTTAAATCTTCGTCTTTTTTCGAATTTCTGTTCTAAAAGGTTGACGTTGTTCGAATTTCTGTTCTAAAAGACTGTCTTTAGTCTGATTTATGTTCTAAAAGATCGTCTTTGTCCGAATTTCTATTCTTAAGGATTGTTTTTATTCGAATTTATTGTCAAAAGATTATTTCGTATGGATTTCTGTTTAAAAGTTTGATTTATGTTCTTATAGATTGTCTTTGTTCAGATCACTGTTCTAAAAGTTCCCTTGTTTGAAATTTTCTGAAATTTTGAAGCGAAAACGATAAATTTCTCAAAATTCAAGTAAAACATGGAAGTTATGCGACCGAACAGTTCAACAAGCATTTTCTTAATTTTCATAAATCCCTTTCTCATATTAGCCATAAATAAAAATCAAAAGAGAGAAAAGGAAGCGATGAGATGAAAACAAACTAAAAGAGCAAGCAAATCTATGTACACAACAGCAACAACAACAAAGAGTAGATTAAAGGCAGAAAATATGATTCTATGATCCATATAAATGTATAATAAAAGGAGGGGTTAAAAATTCACTTTAATGTATCGAGATTTGTGATGCCAGATACCCGATGATAAGCATATAAAAAGTAAAAAGGCACATCTGTCACCACTAATCTTTCCATTGCCCTTTTCACAAGTCGATTTACGGCTTTAACCCCCGCTATATATAAAAATTGCTACCATATCATCAACTCAATGAAATCCCATCTGAATCACATTACTACTCAAAATCAAACATATTTTATATCTGTTTCCATTGTTGTGATTTGTAAATTTGTTTTCTTTTTTTTCTATCATATGAATAATTACGATTTATTGTTCCGTAACTTTCTTGTCTATCTCACTCCCCTCATTTCTATGGGATGGATATGCATCTATACAAAGTAAACATATTTTGATGTTATGATACACTTTGCTCTTTATTATTATTATTATTATTATTATTATTAGACAGATAATGATCTGATGCTATTGAAAATAATAATTTTTGAGATAATTAGATAAGGATTATAAGTGTTGAATGTGTTCACAATTGTACATCCCGAGCGGCACAATTTGACGATGACGATCAAATGATCGTCATATGAGCGTCATCGTCATGACGATGACGATTGTATGACGATTTTTTTTTCTAAAATATTATAACGATTATATGACGATCATATGACGATCATATGAAAGTCATGAATGACGATGAGTTGAAAATTTTGTGATTTTCTTTTTAACATTTAAATCTCAGTTACCTTCGATTTTCTAGAATTTGTTTTTCCTCAATTGCAATTGAGAATTTGAAAAAGACAGACGTGTATTTATAAAGTGTATTA